CTGAAACCAGCAACATACATAATATAGTACTTTTGTTTGGAATTACATTGTACAAACGTTATTTTAATGTCATCGTACCTTAAAAAAAATCTTATAAAGTTTAAACAAGACGTATGAGCAGAATAAAAATATTTTCTACGCTTCCAATACGGCCGTTCCCATATTAATTGTTATTAACGTCGTCTTCCATTCCTCATAGGAAAACCCCTATCTTTTAACTATGTTTTTAGTAGGTATGGTGTTCAGCTTCTTCAAATATTGTAAATTTAAAATATGTCTAAATTCGTAATATTTTATTTTATTTTCTGCCAACAGAAACTCAATATGTTCATTAGTTAATTAATTCTAAATTATCGGATTTATAGTATATGATGGAGTGAAATTAATTTTATATTCCTTTGTCTATGGTTTTAAAGTCACCGTGTTTGTTTCAAGGCCATCTAGCTGTTTTCCTGGCATTAGCAGTAGCTTGCTCCTGTTTTCAAGAAAGTAGGAACTGGATAGTTTCTGGGAATGTGACCTGACTTTGTCCTTGGTCAGCGAAAGGAGGAATACAAGTTCTCAAACATAAGGCAATAGTTAGAGGCATCCAAGGGATTAACTGGGTGCGAGAATGTATACAGGCCTTAAGAGAGGCTAAAGGTCATAAGGTATTTTGACATTATTGTTCTAAGTTTGTTTGTTTTTAGGGTTAGCTTTGTTAGAGTAAATACATGTGTTCAGAGTGATGTTAAATTGGAGTATGATTTTATAGGCAAAATGTTTAATTTTATAATCAAAGAACTGAGAGAAGCTCTGTTTGAGATCCGTGGTTTAATTCCGAGTAAAAATTATTTTCATTGCACTGGTTAGTTCAATTACTTCTTAATTTACGTTGCATCTTGTTACATAACTTTAATGAGTATCATTTTTCTTTCTTTTTACTCAGGCTTTAGTATTAGTTAGTCTGTGTCAACTGCACCCCCCCCCGCTTCCTCGGTGGTTCATTGGTAAGTCTGGGGCCTTATAACGCTAAAAATCTGGGTTAGACACCTACAGTTGACAGAGCAAAAATAGTCCACTGTGTAACTTTGTGCTTAACGTTCAATTTTGTGTAGGTTCTTAACTTATGAGTTACAGAATTTTTTCTGATTTATATGGTATATGAAGAAGTATTTAAATTATTTATTCCGTCATTCGTTTGAGTTTTTTTTCTGGTCTCTATAAGCACCATTTATACAATCTCAGACAGAATTAAACTTGTGTCATCTTGTACCCTGTGGATTTCTAAAACAAAAAAGCCCCATTCATGAATAATCTGTAAAAATTTATGTCAAAGAGATATCTTGTGAAACAATTAGCCCACATTTTATATTGTTAACGAAATAAGTGGTGTAAAGTCTTATTACGATATTATAATTAGGACAAATAACTTTCCTCTGATATAATTTTCGTCATTGTAACATTAAATTTAGGAATAACGCGTCTAGTGATAGTACAATAATTATACAGTTTCTATACCTCTAATAAATATAATTCTCCTCCCCCAAAAAAACAGTTTTGTAAATTTATTTTAGTATAAAAATAGTTTAGTTCAAGCTCTTTGTATAACCAAAAAAAAAAAACAACAACGAAAACCAGTATATATACGCACACAAACAACATAGAGTTTTATACTGGTACTGGATCTGGAAGATCCTGTCATTTTTTGACTCCTACACTAATCAGTATAGCCTGTCTTTGATCTATAAATGTTCAAAGAAATTTTACCACACTCGCCCATTTTCTGTTTTTGACTTGTTTCACATTTGCACCTCTTACTTCGCTTTCTGTTCTACATGTTATAACATGAAATATATTAAATTACATCAGATGACAAAATATATATCAAGAATAGCCGAATACTGTTTGTTTGTTTTTTGGGCAAGAAGGGCCCTATAAAAAGGCCCAAATACGTCGCTGGTAAGAATATCACTCAAATCAGTTTTTATTTGAACAGGGTGGAGCAAAAGTGACTGTACCTTGTTGCATTTAGAACACAATTTATTTTCTAACTATTAATATGGAACAAATAAAACTCAAATGGGTTTTTGTTGTTTTGGTAATAGTTTCTTTAGTACCAACTGTATACTACTAACTATACTAACTATATAGTACCATGTGTATAATATCTGCCCACCTCCCACCTTGTACAACTCCGGTTGGATAGCATTAACTCCTGTAATTCTTGCTTATATAGTCTGGCTCACAGACACACCCCTAATGAAAAAATAGACCATTCCAAGCTTTTACTTGTTGTTAAACAAATGTTTAAATAACT